AAAAAAAAAAAAAAAAAAAAAAAAAAAAAAAAAAAAAAAAAAAAAAAAAAAACACTAGATTCGTGCCTATAAGCCACCCAACCAGATAGTACTGCGATGTTGTTCTTGACATCCCCGTTGGGCTTTGCACTTCGTTAACATCACATACATAAATTCAGAGATGGCACCTAATCCAGAACTAGAGAAGTTTCTCACACAAGCTTGACATGACCCAACTAGATTTTCACAAGACAGAGACAAAGAGAGAGATCACTTTTCACAGGGAAGAGAGAGAAACACGACTAAACCGGTTATCCTGAGAGAGAGAGAGAGAGAGAGGGAGAGAGAGAGAGAGAGAGCATAGACTGCTCTACCCTTTCCAAACTTATTCCATACACTGAAATATAGAGGAAGGATTGTGTTGAGGGCTCTAGTAGCTGAGGTCAAACTTGTCAAAGCACTGGAGGAACCGCAAGGCAGCATCCCTAGCCTTATCCGGTGGAGGGATGGTGGGAGACAGTGGCTCGTATTCAGCTTGCCACTGGGCAGTGCACATTTCCGTCTCTTTTCCTTCCACAGGAGTGAATGTGAAGGTCACTTTGTACGGATTATACATCTTTCTTAGCTCTCCTCCCACCACGTCGTAGCTCACTGATCGACCTGTCTCCACCTTCTCTATCTTCTCCACCGACTCCCCCACGTAGCTTCTCAAGGCTACACGTCTCATCATAATCAATAATAACTCATTTGTTACACTACGCTATCACTTTTTTTCCAACAAAGATGTTAGATATCTTGACGGTGTTCAAAATCCACCCAACAAGCAGTGTCTAGAATTAAAGACTAAGAATTCAGCTATGGTTTTCATGGATTTGCACATGGAAACAAAAAAAAATTAAGAAGATATTTAAAACAAGAATTTCTAGAGAGAGAGAGGTACCAGGGCCAAGCTTGAAGAGCCTGAGAGTTCCAGGGCCGCCATCTCCTTGAACATATTCAGCTCGAGAAAGCAGCTCAGGATTGATTTTACTGATAACCTCGTTGTCTCTGTACATCTGCCATGCTTTCTCGGCGGGCAGGTTCAATGACACCTCTCCTTTCATGCTCCTCATTTCTCCGTCTCTATGTGACCACCTGGTTTTTGGCTTTCTGCTTACCCTTGCTAGACAGGGAGAATATAAATAAGGAAGCAAGCTGAATGTATAGATGCCTTCTTTCAGAGTCGAGGGAGGAGTGTTTTAATAAACAACCATAATTGACTCCACAGATAAATATATTTAAAAAAATTTACTCATCACGCATAAAAATTTTATATGGAAAAATCTCCACTAGAAAAGTTATTCGTCGATAAGACCCTAGCACTCTATTGGAGACGCCTGTAAAATTTTCAATTACAAAATCATGTATAAAATAAACAACAATAATCCAACGTGCGTATGAATTTAAAAAAAAATGGCCCATTACAAAAGTGGAGATGCTTGATTCCTCACACGTCGCATTATTTTATTACCAGCAATCATCTCGGACTTTGTGAATGGAGTGGTAAACGATGAGGCGAGAGGATTCCATAGTTTAAAAATCAAGAGTACAGTAATCCAACTGAAATCAAACTAGCAGACTGTATAGCTAAGCTCTCTCTCTCTCCTAATGGAGATCAAGTAAATAAAACTTAGGAAAGTCACCTGCTGTCTACGCAATTCAGATAACAAACTACATTAATGTTCATGCAGACTCCCCATCTTTAAGGTTACCCCCTTCAGAACTATCCACTGACATTATTTATACACGTTTTTTTGGTTCATTTGGAATTCTCGCATCACGGGGAACGGACGAACTGAAACTGGGAGCTTCATTTGACGAAAAATTCCTCATCTGCAGATTGTTTACACAGGCACACAAATATATGGTGAGTGTCTGCATGTGCTTGTCTCGGAGGGAACATTTACAATTAAATAAGAGCTATTTTCTCATGGAGTAAGTTTGCGTCTTTGGTGCTATTGGTTCTTTGAGTACCGTGATATTTTGTATCTATTCTCCTTTTCCACGTTATTAGGTAACATCAACGTTACCAGATTATCAAATCGATGGGCGCCTAGCATATAGATGAACCAAACGAAGCACTCGGATTGAAAGATCAAAATAAGTATGAGAGAAATGAATTCTGGCGAATGTGTCTAAATTCTCAACGCTCTTAATGTGTGGGAAATGTAATCAAAATATCAAAAGACAAGTGGGATGATGCAGCAACAATGCAGAGAGCGTTCAACTAATCAATTATTTGGGAACAAGGGTTGGCTGCTAACCTGGAAAAGAAACAGTACTAATCGGAATCCTTATCCAGTTCTGCACTCAACATATGATGGAGAAGAATGTCAACTTTGCGACTCCGAGTTTTAGTGCTGGAAAAAAAAACCATAAAAATTTGTCACGTCAACATTTTCAAGTCAAATGGAGAGGATGGATGCATATTAAAACTACTTATTGTCGTACCCAACAAAACGTCGACGATCCTTTCTACTATCTCCGTCCTGAACCACAGAATTTAGATTCATAAGTACAGTTAGTTGGACCTTCTTGTTATCCCACAGTGAAAAAAGCACAAATGTTGGATAAATAGGCAAGCTTAATGATTGTTTCTTTATCCTTCTTTTTTTTCATTGTCATTGTAACCTAAAAGTACCGGTATAAACACAATAAAATAGCAGAACCAGCAACGTGAATCTGAAAAACTAGGTGTGGAGCAGAGGAGGCAATTAAAAAAAGGAAAAAAAATGTATGGAAAAGATTTTAACATTGTGTGTCTAATTTATCGTCTCTAATTTTTTTAGAATCTGAAAGATTAAATATCTTGGGAGTAATCAAAAACAAAATTTAAAAATTTCAAGGTGTTGATTATGTATATCAAAAAGATAATACTTCAACAGCTAATGTAGATTTGTAGATTAGAATTTAATTGCAAAGGTTTGAGATTTTGTGGATAAATAATCGCAATAACTAAATATATGCACTCAAGCATTCAAAAGAAGAGGCAACAATTTTTCTCCCCAAAACTAATGTCCAGTTGCTAGAATAAAACTTCAGCAATATCAATCAGAAGAACAACGTACATCTCTAAATCCAAATATTTAGTCTTAATATATGTGTTTCAATCACATACTTCTTTTATTTCAGTTATAGTAAGAGTTAATATAAATCATTAATTTGCATGAGGTCTCCATTTCTACTCTCAATTGAAGTCCAGTAGTTCACAATACCCATCCTTCTCAAGGATCAGAAGATACTGACCTGATCCTGTTCTTCGCCATTTTCTGAAGATTCAATATCCAATTCAGCAAAGAATGCCTCCAAGACAAAGGCTACAACCTGAATCATATCACAATATTTTAAGTTTTTTAATTTGTAACGCCATTATATCAAATATGATATGCTTACAAGCATGCATTCATCATAACTTTGACGAGAACACTGGAAACTTAACTAATAACTAACAATCATGTCAATCAACATGTAGCGGTGAGTGCAATAAGCCGTTGGTAATTACCAATTAAAGAAGGTTATTTTGGATTTTCTCGTTAGTGGAAAAAAAGAGAAGAAAAGATGAAGTAAAGAACATGAACCCTCCATTTATTTGAAGTCCAATATTAACATTTCTTTTCAACAGTATCAATCTCCTCGTTATTTATGAAGGTATTGTGTCAATTAAGAAAACAGTATAGCATGTAATCTTAAAGGAAAAAAAATTCCTAGTGTAATCAGATTACGTTTTATTCATTATGCAGCATTTCTCAGCAAGGAAGCCCATTTATTTGCAGCTATCATCATAGTAAAGATATAAACGATAAGGTACGGGTATTGCATAAAAGCACAAAAGCAAACTTACCAAATTTAAGAGCAGCAAAACGGTTATTAGGTAGAAACTGATAAAATAAACGAGGGTCCAAATGCTTCCTGTTAATTCCTTGTAGCTCTGAGAAGATAAATATTAAATTCAGTGACAAATTCCAGAGATGGTAAAGAAAAGTTACAGTAGGAAGGGAAAATGAAAATAATTACTTGAAACACAAGGATGAGGCACTGTGAAATCCAACTTATGAGGCTAGAGTACATATAAATAAATACTACTTCGTATGTCATAGGGATAATCTTATTAGCATAACGCAGAAATTCTAATCTTGTAGCCAGAAAATAATGCAGCAATCAACAAAGCCACAGAAATTAGGAAAAGGACAATGACAACTAGAATAAACGGAATTTTGAAACATCTATTTTCGTGAAGGGAAAAGTTAGTATGACATTGCAGTACCCTTCTTTCTTCAGAATTTTTGTTCCAAGATTAAGCTTAATTTCTTTTAGTTTTTGTTTTCCTTCATACTGAACCAAATACCAAAACCGTCAACATTCAATGGACATATCAAGGTATTAATGTTTGAAGAAATTACAAATAAAATTTGATACCCATTCTAACTATTTGCATATAACATATAATCTAAAGATTTCAATTTTCACTTTTAGATGCATATGACCATACCCCCAAAGGAGAATATAACAGATATACCGCTTTAGGTTTACAGGAGCCAGAAGCACAAAAAAAAAAAAAAAAAAAAGAAGAGGAAACTGATAATAAAAGAAGGTACCTGCATCCAGGCTTGCCAGTTTCCCATAACTAGCAAATTGAACAGTGTCACCATGCCATTAGGATAGTCGTTAAAATTGAAAAGTAGGTAGCTGACTCAGTCAAGGAAAATCTAAACAGAAAACGTCCTTCACACGGACAAAACAGAAAAAAGTTAAACTGGTTTATTCAAAGAAGGCTCCTGCAGCCACAATGAATCCCTATTTAGAAGCCTATAAAAATTCAGAATCCACTATCAAAGTATTTAAAAGTATCTAGCCAAAAAAATAATAATAAATAAAGAAGAAGAAGTAAAACATCTAAGGATACTCATCCTCATCCAGATCAGTCTTAGACAAAGTGGCATTTCCAGCATTAACAAGTCCTCCAAAGACCTTTAAAACGATTGAGACAAAAGCAAGGGCATTAGTGAAGACAGCAAAAAGTAAAGATATTTGACTACATTATATTACGATGACTAGAAACATGCACCGAAAATAGTTCAAAATCTAAAGAATTTGAATGACCGATCGACATAAAAAGATACAATTACTAAAGAGTAAAATATATAATAATACAAATCTGGAGACATGATACAAAACTTAGGATTAAAGTTTAGATGTTACAAAGTTTATGATCATCTAAGGACCTAAATTAGTCAGTTTATATGTTGCAACAAGATGCAATTTATGACAGGAAAAGCTAATAAAAGTGTATCTTATAAGATTCATTTCATTCTTCTATTTTCATAAATAGTTCATTTCGATCAACGTATTTACCTGCACACCAAGATTGCAATAAAGACAGAGGACACAGAAAATGGTTCCTAGATATGGCATCAAACTAGGGATGAGAGTTAAAAAGGTAGCAAGAAAAGCTCGATATTGCCGGACATGCATTAGGAGCCTTATCAAGCGTAACATTCTTGCTATCAGAAGGTAGCGAATCCTGTAGGCAAAGAAGAGAAAAACAAAATTGTTTATTTTAGCAAGATTAAAAAAGAACTACATGCTATACATTAGAAGAGAAGGTATTATGCTTGATTTTAATAAAGCTGAGTCAATGTAATATAGAATTCCATGGTTTCACTTCTATAATGTCCATATCCGGTATGAACCAAGACTAAAGTTAAACAGTGAGAAAGGATAGGCATGTGAAACCCTTTGCTAACAACATGCCCCTATATTAGTTTACAGCCATTTGGATAAACATTCAGCCAATGCAGGGTCTATGTTACCAATACAATGAAAGAGAATCTTATTTCATGTGAGAAAGACAGGTGTTGATTGCTACATATATACATTTCTCCAGTTAATTGATACATGCTTCGTTAATCTCAAAACAAGTCGACTTCAATAAACAGATTCCACCAATCTCCCCTCAGACAGATAAAAAACAAAGAAAGAAAGAGTGGGCCTAAAATATGATGCAAGCAATGTCGACTATAATTGATAATACCAAAATATACAGCATGTTCTGATTTAACCATGTTCTTTGATAAAAACTAAATAGTTTTTTATTACGATCTTTTTATTTAACTATTTGTGGATATTTGTGATATCTTGTGCGCACCT